ACGTTACGTAGTACGGTACGTACGACGTACGACGACGACGAGAGAGAGAGAGAGAGAGAGAGAGAGAGAGAGAGAGAGAGAGAGAGTAAAACGAGATTTTCTAAAAGAAAGGGTTAAAGAAACTCTTTACGCCATAATCTCGTGTATTTTTATTCATGTTGATTTTTGTTTTGAGGTTCAGTGTCAAGTGCTATTAAAGGTTTTATGGGGTGGGCAGCAGGCGAGTGGGTTATTGTGGGGTAGACTTGTATGGTACTTGTATGGTTTTTTATGATACTGATCACCTTATCATGCCTTCTTGCTGGGTTTCTGTTTTTTGTTTTTTTTTTTTTTTTTTTGGTACTGTAAGTTGTATATCTGCTCTATCAATGTTTTTCTCACTTGTGTATTTCTGCTATCAGTTAATCAATACCTAGAAATATTATGGGTGGTTGATATCCAAAAAAAATGTTGGGTGGTGCGTGCCCTCGAGTTAGGGAATCAAGGCCCCCTATTGGACCCTTTATGAAATTGTGGAATTGAGATTGGTGCGGGTCCGTGACCTCAGTAGGAAGATCCCCATAATTGTGGATATGACATGACTGCATTTATTGTTCATACAATTTAAGTGTGAAACTTAGAAGCACTCATAGGTAGTGAATCTAGTATGAGTTACTTTCAGTTATTTTTTTAATGCTGTTTACAATATTCGGAAAATGTGGTGAATGAAACTTTGCCCTAAATGCAGTGGTTGGGAACTCTGGGGGCATACATGTGCATGCAGTGTTCATTTCCAAAGCTGCTGGAGAAGCTCTACTGAAGTTTTCTCAAAGTGAAGATGGAAGATGCTGTATGTCTCCTTCAGCTGAGAAAATAGCTTGGGCTGTAGTGGTCTTCTCCCTTTTATCTGTTCTTGTCATAGCTGTGGTTCTAGTAACATGTTTCATTGCTCGAAACCGCCACCTGCGTGTAAGAAGCACCCAACACAACAACCTAAAAAGGAAAAGTCAGCTTGTGAAAGCTCTTCCTACCCTCACATATGGGGCTCCATTTGATGGCAAGTGTGCCTCTGAGATGTGTGCTGTTTGTCTAGAGGACTACAAGGCTGGTGAGACTCTAAGAGTGCTTCCTTGTCATCATGGTAAGCTGATCTTCCTTAAGGCCTTTTTTAATCTTGACTGCATGCCTTGATTGGGAAAAATGATGCTTAGAATGTCAGCATGGATTTTATCTCACTATCAAAATGCTCATCTTATAAATGGATGAAATAAATACACAAGAGAATGGAAAGTGAGAGGACTGAAGAGATGAGATTCACATCACAAAATAAGGGGAAAGAAAAGCGGTAAAGGTGAAATATCCCTAATTATAATGAAAGAACATAGTAAAGAAGAATCAACAATCATTTGATTAGAATGCCCGAGGGATGAGAGAGATCTATATTATTATACTAATGAGATGGTGGAAGGAGGCTAGTCGCAAACCATCAAAGAATGGGTAAACCAAAGTATGAAAAGTATTATCGAATAGAAAAGATGAAGGATCAAAGCAAGAATAGAGAATCTATACTAGCAAGAGAGAGAGAAAAAAGAAGAGACATCAATATAACAAACCAAGAAGAATACATGCTATAAAATGAAAATAAATCTCTACTTGATGAAGAAGAGGATGGGGAAGAGAGATCTATCCCATCATAACTAATACTAAAGAGAAGAAGATGAGCATGAAAATATTATTATTGAATAGAAAAGATCAGGAAAAGTTCTTGCTGAAATCCGTTACATGTTTGACAGTTGAGACCACTGGTTCTTATGGAATTGACACTACGAATTTTAGTGCTTGAACTAACTTTAATTGCATGACGAAAAACCTCGATTTGTTAATGGAAACCATTGCTTTAGATCCAGAAATTCTCAGGGAAACCCAACTAAACAAATGTAGATTTTTAGGAATCGGCTAAAATACATACTGTTAGTCTTATAAAAGTAAGATGTCCTTTATGTTAAAATTAAGACTAACGACTTTTTTTTGGTTAAGGTCCTATATTAATAAATAATTACTCGAGTTGTTTTTGTAATTTATGTTTAGGTTCGTCTTAAAACCAAAGTAACATGACATATCCTAAAAATACCAATTGTTTACACCATTCTGAGCATACTCCAATAATTTATTAACCTGTGGCAGTCTCAGTTATTAGACAGGGTTTTGTACAATATGTATTGGTTCAACCCATTACGAAATAAAGCAACCTGGCGTTGGAGCTATGGTTTTTATTTATTCATCAATACACTATGCTTTCTCAGGAGCTTATACAATACACTTACTCCCTTGGGCAAACGAGCTGCTGAGGAGGATGTTCGTATCTGAAAGTTTGGGAGCGACCTAAGAATCACTGGATGATTATTCTTTTTAAAAAGATGGATTTTGAGTTATTGAACACTTAGTTCTCACCTTCCAAAACTCTGGCGGTGTCTATTTAATCTTGGGATGTTATTTTTTGAAGCACATACCCAGTGTAATTTGAAATGTTTGATTTTGGGTTTAGTCACCATCATGAAGAGGCATACAAAATTTGGGTTTCCAAAAACATGAAAAGATTTCATGCTCCTGCAAGAGCATCCGTCCATTTGCTCCCTCTCGCAAAACTTGAGATAGAAATATTTTTTGGATTCCAAATTTTGGGGATCTAAACACTAGAACCCAGTGACAAGCCCCAAAGGAAAAAACAAAAAAACTCGCTCTAATGTGCTGGAAAAAATGACGTCCCAAGATTTGAACAAGAACCATCCAATTTTGGACGGAAAGATCGAAGTATTTAAGGACTTAAAATCCAAACTTTTTTTCTTTATGATACAAATCTAGTGATACTTAAGATGGATCCCAAAATTTTGAGTAATAATAATAAAAAAAAATCCTCTCGGGTATCTATATTGCCTGAGGGAGTTGTTGTACAGTATGTACCTATGGGAGCATGCTATGCGCTCTCTGAAAATACTCCTACGTTGGGTTTTACCCTAGGGCAATGAACAGTATGCTCCATAGGAGTGTTGAATAATTGAGTTATCCATTTTATTTTTTTAACATAACTTGTTTTGAATTCTTGCTTTCAGATTTCCATGCAGTATGTGTAGATTCATGGCTGACAAGTTGGAAGGCATTTTGCCCCGTGTGCAAACGTGATGCGAATATTGAAGCAGGATGCCATCAGGTCTGCGAGCACACACCACTGTTGTCATGCTCTTCTCGGCCTGCTCTTCCTTCTTGATCCTCCTTTGAAGCTTTTAACTTGGTGCTATATGCTTTTGTGTATTTACCTGTCTTGTTCTTTTCATTGTAATTCATGGGGAAGAGTCTGTATGTTTGTCGTACTTTCTAAAACTTAGGGATCATAATCGAAATGGGAAATAGTGCCCCATTGTTGGTATTCTTTGCTGCATTTGTGTACATAAGTATGTCCATACAAATTCGTGATCTCTGAAGTACAAATACATGACAAATTTGTTTGTAAATAGGTGCATGAATGCTTTGGTCCCACTATTCTTCAGTGTATAAGATCAGTGATAATATGCCGGGGAGTATCTGTCACTGAACGCATTCACTCAGCACATGAACTTTTTAGTTAATAGAGTTCCAGATGGTTATTTTGTGGGTTCAACTAAATCAACACCGGGCTCCTTTTTCGCCTGGAGCTTAAAGGCTCTTTGAAATGGGGGATATCTGCTCACAATTTAAACAGATGGTGCATTGATATGGTCAATAGTATAGTGCCAAAGATAAGAAAGGAACGAGACAGAGGAGTTTGAGAGAAACATGAGAGGGAAGGTGAAGAGGGGAAGCTGGAGGTTGTCACGTTAGGGTTATTTGGGCACCACGCCTCTCTGTATGTTACTTATAAGTCGCGAACAAATACATGGTAATTTGGCATCCGCGGTTGCTGGGTTAATACCTCTGAAAAAACTAGGGCCCAGGCCACAAGATATACTCCGAGGATCAGGGTAGCGGAGGGCCTAGACCAACGCCATATTAAGGCTATCCTAGTTAGGCCTGGCCCATCCCTTTTTTTCCTTGTGCTTCTTTTTCTTTCCACCCCCCTTCCCTTTGATGGTATTTGGCCCGCTCTGGCCCTGACAGGGCTGGCTTGGCCTAGGCAAGACCTGTTGCCGACCCTACACACCAGTCTTTATCTTATTTATAATTATAACTCGTACAAATTGCAGTTTTGCTGTTATGTAGAAAAGGACATGAATGACCTATTGGCTCATAAATACGACAACCAAAGAACTAATCGAAAAAATATATTTGATTGGAGCATAAATATTATCCACGTCCAGCTTGAAACAAATCATCTTAATCATATTACAACCAAGAGCATTGGTGAATATATGAGCAAAGTGATCATTTGACTTTACATATGAAGTAGATATCTGTGTGCTTTTTCACGAATAAAATGGTAATCCACAATATGCTTCATTCTCTTATGGAGCTGTGGGTTGCTAGCTAAATAGAAGGCGTATGAATTATGACAAAATATCTTGATCTGCTCAGTTTCTATGAATCTTATCTCTTGCATCAAGGTCTTCCACGACGTTAACTCATATATAGTGTGAGCTGTTGCTCTACATTCAGCCTATGAGCTAGATCTACTACAACCTTTTATATCTTACTTTTTTATGTCTCTAGAATTTTTTTTTGGGTAATTTAGTGGGGATGACGAGCTCCTACCCGTTTTTTAAATCGTTAGTGGTTTTTGAATGCGTTAGGTGAGAATGGAAGCTTAGGTCTTAGTTGGGTACAAGTGGTGCTACCACCATGGCCACAACCCCATCCTCCAATGTCTCTAGATTTCCTCCAACAAAAGTACAATAAGCTATAGTAGACCTTTTGTTTGATCTCCCTTAAGATATCTCAAAATTCTTTACATAGCTTTCCACTTTGGTATCCTGATAGAATGCATGAACTGATTTATTACACTCATTGCAAATGTTATGGTCAAGTAATTCTTAAGTAGATTAGTCCGCCTACAAATCTTCTATACTTGCCTGAAGCCTCAAATAACTCTCTATGATCCTTCAGTAATTTATTACTTGGATCTATAGGCATATCGACTGGCTTAGCCCCCAACATTATTGTTTTATGACAACTTGTAACATCTTTCCCTTGACACAAACTAATACTATATCTACACCAGGCTATTTCAATTCCCAAAATATTGCCAAATTTGTTTGAAGATTACTGCTAAATATATATTTTCAATTAATTCCTTCTGCAATGGGAATATCATCAAGATAAACCACCAAGGCAATTATACTCGAGGATTGTCTTTGAATAGATACTGAGTGATCCATATTGCTTCATCGACACTGTATAGTATAACAATTCCACGAAACTCATATAACCATGCACATGGGGGCTACTTCAAGCCATAAATAGCTTTCTTCAACTTGCATACCTTGTTTGGTTCCTCTTGAACAATGAGCCCGGCTGGTTACTAAGAGTTGGACTATAACCCCGTAAGTGTATACCGATAAATTTTTTTCTTTTTTGTTTCTTTTATTTTCACCACTCAGATTACTTACAGATGTCCAAATACATAATGAGAAACAAAAAAAAAAAAAAAAAAAAAATGGAATCCCAAAGAATACTCTTTATTGCACAAACCAAATTGCCTAAACTTGGAATCATGAACATATAAATTAATAAACAAAAAATAAATTGTCAAAAGATTACCTCAATTAGACTTTGCACACCTCATTTTGGGTCTCCTCGTCCGATAGCACATGGGATCAAAATCTTTCTTAAATCCTTTATAAACCACCAAGGCAATTATACTCGAAGATTGCCTCTAAATAGATGCTGAGTGCCACATTGCTTCATTGACAATGTATGGTATAACATTTTCACTAAACTTATATAACCATGCACATGGGGGGCTACTTCAAGCCATAAATAGCTATTTTCAACTTGCATACCTTGTTTGGCTTCCCTTGAACAACAAGCCCGGTGGTTACTAAGAGTTGGACTATGTAACTTGCGCAAGTATATACCAATAAATTTTTTTTCTTTCTTTTTTTTTATTTTCACTACCCAGATTACTTACATATGTCCAAATACATACAGAGAAAAAATAATAATAATAAAATAATCCAAAAATAATAATAATAAAATAATCCCAAAGAATCTCATTTGTTGCCATTTTCATAACTTTTTATTGAACAAACCAAATTGCATAAACTTGATCTTGGAATCATGAACATATAAATTCATAAACAAAAAATAAATTGTCAGAAGATTATTTCAACTAGACTTTGCACACTCTATTCCGAGTCTCTTCCTCCAATGGAGCACGGGATCAAAGTCTTTCTTAAATCTTTTAAAGTATAGAAAACCTCATATTATCAACCCAAATCAGATAGCAATGGTGGAATAATCACAGGACTAGGCCTCAATGCTTAAGCATGGTATACTAGGTCTCATACCTAGAATGGAAGGCTAGGTCTTAATACCTGATATACCCTAGGACTCAAATACCTAGTATGGTAGGCTCGGTCTCAATACGTAATATGGTACCCTAGGTCTCAATACTTATTATGATAACCTTCATCCCCTTTCACAAAGCTTGGGGCGTCCCCCTATTTTCATACTAAATTTCCTAATCGGGGCACTCATACTAAATTTCCTAATGGGAGAGAGAGAGAGACGTGTGATCTAGCCGGAATATATAATTAATTATTTTTTAATTTTTTTTCTTTTCTTTACGGCCTAGATCACTCACAAGTAGTCATTTTACAATATAATAACTTCGAATAAAATAAAATAAAAAATTAATTTTTTTCTTTTCTTCATGGCCTAGATCACTCACAAGTAGCCATTTTACAATATAATAACTTCAAATAAAATAAAATAAAAGAATAAAATAGGATCTCAAGGACCTGAAGCCATTCAAAACCTCACTTTTCATTAACAAAGAAAAGACATAACCTATGCTTAAACAAATTTAGCATTTTTTAGAGTTTTCTTTGGTTTGCCACTCATGTGAAATTGAATATACACCATTGATCTTGGTGACTTGTAGGGTGAGACATACGAGTTGTCAATTCCCTAGATGAGCCATCAACATCCTATGGAAGGTACTAGAACCATTATCCCCCAAATCTTAAACCATTTTCCTATCAATTAATTCAAATAAGAAATTAATATATGAAAATATTATCCTTTTTTATTTTATGCATAAGCCTTCTCATACATACTAAAAATTTATTCAAAAATTTCGCAAGGCTTAACCTTTTTTAAAACAATACTTTCTTATCCCTCAAGCTTTAAAGCTCGATCACATAAAAAGGAAAGTAACCTAGGTGGGGCGTACCACCCATTGTTGCACATAATGGGCCCCACCGAATTTGCAATGGTGGGTCCACAAGTCCTATTAAGCCTCCTATGCAATTTAAAATAATATTTTATTTTTAAAAATTCATAAAACCATATTTGAATATTTAAATAAATATAAAATCAATATCCACGTTCTTATAAATCTAAATTTGATAAATAAAATATCCAGAGGTTAGAAAAATTCAAATAACAATTTTAAAAATTATATATTATTAAAATAGACAAAATTAAATACATTAATGGGAAAATGATCCATATGGTCAAGGCATAAATATGCACTAGGGCACTCCACCTCCAACTGCGGACTAGGACCACACATGCTTTCTCAAACCGATCCAACGTTACCCATGATCTACAGTACATGAAAGAGATCATTAGTGGGTCACCAAAGTCTAGCCAATGAGTAAGGGGACGTAGTCTCAGTATATGAATTTCAAGTTCTCCCTGGAGACAAACCAATGTCATCTGGACCTGATGCAATCCATTGCTCGATGTTACATATGGGGTATCTTTTGTACATGCATACGTTTTACCCTGAAAGATGGCTTGCTTTTTCGAAAATGGCTATCAAAGTACATGCCATGTGATGGTACAAATGATGAGACTTTGGCCTTATCTCTGAAGGTCTCTATCACACATAAGGGTCACACAGTCTCTAGGCTCATTCTTTTGGATATACTCCGACCTCATCGAGGGATGACCCATCTAACCCTAATCTGTTTGTTTCTCTATGCCAGGTAACATGGGTTTTGCCCAACCAGACTGACCTAGCAAGCTAAGCACAATCTAGCATTAGCAAACATCATTTGTTTAGTATGATCCACATGGAACCACACTCCTACTGAGTTCATGTTATATTATATAATTTAATTTACAAGTACTCATAAGGCCTTTAATGGCCACACACACCGAACAAGAAAGAGAAAGAGATAGAGAGATAGAGCGTGCAGAGAATTAGGAACCCCATGATGCATATTTATAGATTTCCTATAGGATTAGGGTTTTTTAGGGTTAGCCATCTTTATGGAGAAAAGATTCAGACTATTGATCAAAGGAGACTTGTGGGGTGATAAATCTTAGCTATACAATAATTAGATCAGCCATCATGATTAAAAGAAATGTG